TGCATTGTATAGATTCTTTTGTTCTTTATTATTTTATGTAATACTTTATTTTGTATATTTTATTATTCTTTTATTTAAACAATATATTCTCTTTCGAAGGTTTAAATAATGACTCGTCAATGACTACACCTCTCCTCTACATCATAGTAAGAAATAGTTCCGAAATTAATCGAAACATAGATGGCGCTTCACGCCATCTACCGAGATTTAAAGTAACTAGTCAAAATAGGTACCCGGACTCCATCCGGCGAGCAAATCCTTTGGCTCAAAAATACGTATCATTACACATTGCAATTAAATATTCCGAACATTTCAAATAAATCTTTAGGAAAGTTTCGGTGCTGTGGGGGCTGTTATGAAAGTAACGTTAGAACCAGGAAGTTTTTCCACTATATTTAAAAATTACAAAAGCATTTGTGTTTCTTGTAATGATTTAAAAGGCAGGGATAAATCTAAATCGTTTCACAAGTAAGTTATATATTGTAATTATATAATTTTCAATGTCAAATATTGTAAAAATTTCTATTTCGCAGATTCCCTCTGAATAACAATGAGCGATTAGGACAATCGGTTAAAGCGTTAAATTTGAAGACCTTCACACTAAATGATAAAAGTTTACTTTGTAGTGAACATTTTGACAAATCCTCTTATCGTTTGCGAAGTGAAAATACCCATTGTCAGAAATCTACTGCAATACCAACGATTTTTTTCCTGTGATAACAAAAGGTACGAATAGTAACATTAATAATATCATTAAAAAACATATATTTAAAATTAAAAATTTATTATTTACAAACATTGGAGATAATTGCAGTGAAATTTCAAATGCAGTTACTCTTAATGATGAGGAAAGAAAAATAAGTTATGTGGACTTAAACAATAACTCCTGCTTTGAGATTAATAATAGCCATAATAATAGAAGGAAATTCACTGATACTGCTCCTGATAATCCAGTGAAAAAATTTTCAAGTCTAATAATAGTATGAATTATTTCATAAAATCATAACTTACATTTTTGTTATTAATAAAAATAAGAAGTTTACGCAGCTATTTCGTAACATTAAGTTTTATAAATTAATTTAATTTATACTATTTTCGCTGCGAATTTAAATAATATATTTCACACTCTTTTTGGATAAAACTACATTAATTCTAGTATTTGAAATTAATAACATTTATCCACGAAAATGCAGACCTCTCGAAAAAATAATTAATTAACATTTAAATACCCGTGTGGAAAAGTGATGTGGGCCCCCAGCGGGGGCCCTTATGGATCGCCCTCATGTCATGAGGGGCGCATATGAAAACGACATGCTCATCGATGAGGGCGCCCCTATGCGCGCCCTCACGTTTGCCTTAATGTTTTTTAATCAACAATATTAATAATAATAGTTAATTAATAATAAATAGGGGAAGATGGGGCAAGGATAGTTAAGGGGCAAGGATAGTTAGTGGCTCTAATACAGAAACGGCTCGTCAAAAGTTTAAATTTCACGGCTAGATCCAAAAATATCTTACCTAACTATCCTTGCCCCATCCTCCCCTAAGCATAAATTATGAATAAATAACATATTTATTTACTAATTCTTCCATTTTTAAATTAAATTCTTACTCAAATTGAATTTATTAATTAAGTGTCGGATATAGATTAAGAGTAATAATAAATTAATTAATTAAAAAATTAAAAAATATGTTATGATCGGATATTTTCATTTTTCAACTAATTCATACATAGAATTAATGATTAAACGCAAACCTGAGAAATAAATAAATCTAACGCATGGGGGGATCGAACCAACGACCTACGGACTATGAGCCCAACGCTTTACCAACTACACTACCCACGCTACGTGAAAACGAATGCTAACTTCTTGATGGCATTTAAACTTGCAAAATACCTAACTCAGAAAAGTGCTTACCACGAGGGGGAATTTACAAGTAAAAATTGTGTACACTTGACTACAACTACACATATTACCATTATTACCTTAGTATTACAATTTTTACAAGAATTACATACTACTACCAAAATATTACTCTATTACAAAGTATTACACATGTATTACTGAGTATTACCCTTTATTACAAAAAATATTACACGCCAAACAGCACTTTCTTATACGTAGAACTTTCAATAAAATTATTATTTAAGAGCAAAACTTTAAAATAAGAAATAGAGAAATAAATAATTAAATATTTTTAAATATTAGGGTAAGTGCATCAATTACGGCGCGTTCATAAAAAATGACTATTATTACTGTTATATTTAATACAACTGTTGCAAAATGATTAAAAAACATTATTTTAATCTTTTTTTGATACAATTACAAATGAAGATGCATATTTAAACAATTATTAATTAAATTATTTGAGATCAAATTTTTTCCCTTGCCGTAATTGAAACATTTTGCTTCCTCGTGGAGGAAGCTTTGTAGTCCTTTCGTTTATAAAATTTTTAAATGGTGAAAACAAATTTTCTTCTATATAGAAACATGTTATATGAGATCCTGATCAATTGTCCGGATGTATGTATGTGTGTGGATCATTTTTGTGAACACGATATCTTTAACTGGTTTTAATGGATTTGGGTAAAATTTAGTTGGCTTATTTATTACATTTATCTCTCAAAAATGACGAGAGGATTTTTAAAAATACCCCCAAAAAAAAATTTTATCGTCTTTTTCCAAAATTTTTTTTTAATTTAAAAAAAATTTTGGAAAAAGAAAAATTTAAGGTAATATATCATATAATCGTCTTCCTTACGTCAAGGCGAATCGATTGGTATATATAAATTATAGATTTGATTGAAACTAATAGAATTAATGTAAGTTAAAAAATCAAAAATTCACATTTTAGCTAAAAAATGTTGTTTTCTTAAATTCATGTTTATATGTATATAAAATAATTTTATTCCCTGCATTGAAATGAATTGGTTGATATATATATATAAAGTATAGATTTGATTTAAATTTTAAGAATTAATAAAAATCGAAAATTTATATTTTAACTAAAAAATTTTGTGCTTTTTTAAATTCAAGTTAATACATAAAATAATTTTATTCATTGCATTGAAACGAATCGATTCGTGTATATATATAAAGTATATGTTTCACCCAGAATGAATTAAAATTTTCTTAATTTTTCAAAAAATTTAATTATTGAGTATTATTACCGAGTATTACCAGGCAAGTGTACACTTGACTACCAGAGTAAATTCCCCTTCGGTTATATATCACTTACATTATAGAAAATAATTAATATTTAACAGATTTAATCAAAATATCCATATTAACAGTAAATAACATTTTAAAAAATTATTCGACATATTGGATCCGTCATTTTGAAAACTGATATCGGATTTGTAATCAGCGACCCAAATAACCTCTGAGTAACGAGTTTCATGCAAATACGATAATTTTTTAAAAAAATCTTCTGACATATTGGAACCGCCATTTTGAATTTTTAAAAAACTGATATCGGATTCTTAATTAGCAACTCCAAAAACCCTTAAGGGTACAGTGATTTGTAAACTTTGTTGCGTAGAAAAATATATAACTGAAAGGGTTAATATAATATTCATTTATGATGTGAATATTCATTTATTGAAATTTATAGAGTATTTTTATTCCATCTGAGTAATAAAATAAACTATAGAATTAGATAAACATTCATTTCTCGGAATTTATGAGATTGGAATGTTTAGATAATGTTGAATAGAGTGTTTAGAATCAAAACAAAATCCGAGTCTATTTAGTAACGTGTCAGGACACGTAAATGTATTACTATATATTTCTGTTTTTGAGCTTGGAACGAAATAAGATTTATACTTATTTTTGTTTCGTTCCTCGGCACGAAATATAATTACCTCTTATTTTGTATCGTGCCGGGACACAAAACAAATTTCTTAAGTAATTTACTTCTATGCCTCTGGCACGGAACGGAACAAAATTATAATTCATTTTAGTTCCGTTTTCGGACACATCCCTGAAAAAATACATATAAATAGAAATTAAATAAATAATTAGGTTCATATAAAAATAAATATAATAAAAAATTCTATTTCTTACATTTTAAAATAATTTTAGTTTTCCATTTTTTTAAAACCAAATTGTTCGTTTTTCTAAACTTTGGGTGTCCAGAAACTTTTAAAAAAATTAAAGAAAAAATTTTTCAGTATAAATTTAGTTCAAAGTTCACCTGAACTCCTTGCGACAACAAAAAACCATAATTTTTCAATTAAATATTTTCAAAAATTGTAATCAAATTCTTTAAAAAGTTCAATTGTTTTCAAATTTCTCAATTAAAGTTTACAAAATTTCAAAACTTTCAATAATTTTAAATTAATTTTTGCTAAAATTATTGATTTTCTTCTGTTGGGACAAATACATTGCTAAATATTTTAATTTTTTAGAAAATAATCTTTGAAACAATGATATTTTTCTAAACTGTTTAATTAGTTGCACATTATAAAATTTTCAAAAGTTCATGACAAACAATAGTGCATGGAAAACAATCTATAAAACACGATTAAAAACGATTGAATATAATAAGAAAGTCAATCGTCCTGAATTGTAAGAACACGATTCAGAAACACGATTGAGGACAATAGAAATTTCTTTCTTATTGTTTTCAATCGGTTTTTTCTGGAATTGTATTTTTATGGCCTTAAACTATAAGAAACCGTCATAAAAAAATCGATTTTTTGGTCGATAAAACAGTTTTCTCAAACCCGGTCACATATTATTTTTCAAAGTATAAATTTTGATATTAACACATTTATAAACTGTCAGAAATATTTCTTTTTTATAAAAATCACGAATTTATATCAAGCTAATTTTTTTGAGGCCGTAAATAACCTTTCTTCATTTTTATAAGTTAATTACACTTATTGTATCATGGTTGTAACATGGTCCGGATACTTCATACTAATCCTATAAACAACTAATAATAGACTGAGTTAAAAATTATAACTGTAGGGTTGTCTCCCTTATTTAACTCACCTCCGATGACAATTGATTTGCTTTTCTGTTTCATTAGTTCCGCAATGCTTGGAAATATGTGAATGTGTTGCAAATAAAAAATGACTAGCCAGGTAATTCCAAATGTTGTTAAACCTTGCTCATGTGTCAGTAAGCATGTACTTAACCACTTTTTTAAGAATAATATCATTTTTCTACAAAGCGGAAACGACGTTATAAAAAGCCTGCAACATTTAAAAAATGTATACTTAAGTATAGAAGTAACAATTATGAGATATAGTCATCCCCCGCATTTTCACTGTAAAAAATTTTGAAAATTTTCCCTAAGATTCCTTGGGGAATAATCTATAAATGCATAGAGAAATGTGCGTCAACTTCGATTTGGTGAAATTTTTCCTGATTATTGAAAATTTCTACTAAATTGAGAAAAACTGATTAAATGTTAGGAAATTTTCCTCAAAATAGTAGGAAATAGTAATTTCACTACGACTCTCTGAAATTTTCCACAAAATAGACAAAAAATCCAATATTAGTTTGGGGAAGTTGGATTACACAGGTGAACACTAATTTTGGTGCGGCAAATGTCAAAGCTGTTTCTGATAGAATTTTTGATGCTGAACACGAATCCGTAAACGAAAAGTTCCTAACAGTTCTAGTTTCTGAGAAAAAAGGGTTTAAAATGTCAAAAAATCGCATTTTTTGGCAAACTTTGAGTCCCTCTAGCACTGAAATAAAAGGTCGTAGAACCTTCCACTTGGGCTTAAATTCACACCGTGCCTGAACCAAAAAAAAGTTTCACTAAAATGGATCCACAATCGGGTTTTAGGGGATCATTCTACATCATATCAGAAGTAAAAATTTGTTGAGATCAAAATCCTAGCTGCTCCTTTTTTTGAGATATCGGTATTTTCGTTTATTGAATTTTGCAAATATTTTAAAACCACTCAGTTTGGAACTTGTAACTACATGTAGGCAAACAAATCTTACAAAAAGTATCTTAAATATATTTTTTATACAGGGTGTTCCAAAAGTATGGAAACTTGGAAATATCTCGAAAAGTACGAATTTTTGTAAAAAATGTTCAAGACAAAAGTTGTTCCAAACAAAAAGATGTACATCTTTGAAACCAAAAAATTGGTCCCGGAGCCCAATGTTGGGTCCTACAATGAAAAAAGTGGTTTTCTTAAATGAGACCACAAATTTTCAGTATCAAATTCGTAATCCCCATGAAATTCTGCGTTCAGACATGTGGTATAAGTGCCCAAAATATTGGGCCCAATCTAAGATATTGGGTCCAAAATTTATCAACAGCTAAATAAATTTTAAAAAATCGCATCTTGGAGGGATTTTGAGATCACAGGATTAGAAATTGGAAGCTAATTTTCAAATTGGGCATAGAGCCCAATGTAAGATTCCGCCGCCCAATTTGAGGCCCACATTAAAAAAAATTAGTTGTTTAAATAAAACCCACTAATTTTCAGTATCCAATTCAGAATCGTTATGAAATTCTGGGTTTAAACTGTAGTACAAAAGCCAAAAAATATTGGGCCCAATGTCTGGGATTGGACTCGACACTTTTTGACAAATAAATAAATTTATAAAATCGCATCTTTTGGAGTTTTTGTGGTCACAGGATTAGAAATTCAAAGCTACTTTTCAAATTGCCCAATGTAAGATTCCGCAGCCCAATATGAGGCCTACAGTAAAAAAATTAGTTTCCTTCCATTTCGTAATCGTTCTGAAATTCTGGGTTTAGACTTCTGTGGTTGAAAGGCATAACAGCATATTAAATTTCATATGAATTCGTGCGTTTTATTAAATGTGATAAACGTATTTTAAAAATACATTAAATAATGAGACTAAATGCCGAATACCAAACACATCCGTTGATTTTCTGATTTGACAGAGCTAGATGAATATTAAAACTCATTTTTCTCAAAATCGTGACAAATGCAGTTGTGCTGTTATGCTTTTCAACCACAGACTTGTGGTACAAATTCCAAAAATATTGGGCCCTCACATTGGGCTGCATAATCTTACATTGGGCTCTATGCTCAATTTGAAAATTAGTTTCCAATTTCTAATCCTGTGATCTCAAAATCCCTCCAAGATGCGATTTATTAAAATTTATTTATCTGTAGATAAATTTTGGACCAAACATCTTGGATTGGGCCCAATATTTTGGGCACTTATACCACATGTCTGAAAGCAGAATTTCATGGGGATTACGAATTTTATACTAAAAATTAGTGGTCTGATTTAAGAAAACCACTTTTTTCATTGTAGGGCCCAACATTGGGCTCCGGGCCTAATTTTTTGGTTTCAAAGATGTACATCTTTTTGTTTGGAACAACTTTTGTCTTGAACATTTTTTACAAAAATTCGTACTTTTCGAGATATTTCCAAGTTTCCATACTTTTGGAACACCCTGTTGTATGTATATACATTTAAAAACCTTGAAAATAAAAACTTAATGAAGAAAATTGGTTAATATTTGTTAATATATTAATTTTTTTTATATTTACCTCAATTAAAAGCCGATTTTCAATTTTTTTTGATATTTTAGGTCATACCTATTTCCAAACTCTTTATATTTATGTTAAATATATTTGTTATATTTTAATACTTCTTGCACAACAAATTAATTTATATGAATTAGAAAGAACGAAAAAATAAAATTTTTTATTGCAACTGGTAGAGAATGATGTTCGTAAAATATCATAAGCAAAATAACAAGTTGATTAATTTTCAAACTGAACAATAGATATAAAACTTTGAAACAAAAAAGTATATAAATGGATACCTTGCATGAACTATAATAATCAGTATAATACAAACTCACTTAAAAGTAACGAGATAAAAATTCGACAATTGTTTGCAAAGTTTGCCTACAAGTAGTTACAAGTTCCAAACTCAGTGTTTTTAAAATATTCGCAAAATTCAATAAACGAAAATACCGATATCTCGAAAAAAGAAGCATTTAGGATTTTGATCTGAACGAATTTTTACTTCTGATATGATTTAGAATGATTTCCAAAAACACGATTTTTTGATCCATTTTAGTCAAACTTTTTTTTTGGTTCAGGCACGGTATGAATTGAAGTTTAATGTTTTTACTACAATCCCCAAAAAGCAGGTTTCTGGAACCATGACCTCAAAGTCGATTGTATTACATTTTTGAGTTGCAAAAATAAATTTTGGAAAACTTTGAGCGCGTACCTCTAGCAATGAAACAAAAGATCATAGAAACTTTTATTTGGACTTAAACTATAGTTTAAACTTTAGACAACAATTCTTAAAAATTATATTGATGCAACAATTATTAAAGTTAAAATATTTTTTCTTAAATTTTTTTTAACTTTGAAACAATTGTCATGTAATAAATTTTTATAAAATCTGAAGGTATTGAAAAGCTCCAGCTTCTATTCTACTTCGTAAAAAAGTAATCCCTGCAAAATTTCAAGATGAGCATATATGCCCCCTTTTGGAAATACAGGGGGTCAAAGGGCTGTCATGTCAAAAAAAAGAACCTGCAATATAATTATTATATATTATGTTCCTTTAAGATTTTCGTCTGCTGATTACGAATCTAATCGGTCCGTTTTTAAAAATTGAAAATGGCGGATCGAATATGCTGGACGACAAAAATTTTAAAAATCAATTCAATTTACTTGAAAATGGTTACTCGGGGGTTTTTGGGGTCGCTGATTACGAATCTACGATCCGTTTTTAAATTACAAAATGGCGGACCCAATATATCCAATAAAGGCTAGATGTAATGCCGAATCCAACCAACAAAGGTAAGATGGAATAATTGAACCAACGAAGGCAAGATGTAATCAGCAACGCGATCAAAAAAGACAAGGTATAATGGTCCAAACGACACATCATTATATGATTTTATAATTAATCCAACAGTATGGATTCGGCTGCATCTCGATCCTCAAACTGCCTCTAAAAACTCTACTCGCTCCTACTGAGAGTTTATTGATTAGTCTTTTCTGTGCCAATCTGGTTGCATCAGTCAGGCTGAAAATAAATTAATCTCGGCAGTTAAAGTTCAATGATTCGAATATAAGAGTTTCTCTTGGATCCTTGAGGTGTTTACTTTTAATAAATTGTTAATCTGAATTTACTGTAGTTTACAATATTTTGTTTTATTCCCCTTTTTTTCTGATTACAATATTTTTCATTAAGGGAGCTTTACATTTCTCCACCATGGTCGAGGAAGCTAATAGTTGGTTATAATTGCAACGTTACAATGCCCCCTCCCAGAGCATAAAAGTGGGTGAAGCCAAAACATTACTGACCACAAAATTTTATCCATTTATTAACATACTTCATTTTACTTTTCTAGTTTCAAATCTCACCTCTTGGATGCAAAAGCATCTCCAAAAAAAGGAACCATGAATAAAGAATATGTAAGTTTAAACAAATGAACATTTATTAATCAATTAATGAATGTTATTAATGGTACATTAATTACAATTGTCGTTATAGGCAATTGAGGTAGTAACAATAATTGGTTGTTATCGACATTAGAGTGTTGTCGGTGACGGGTCGTGGGTACCACTAGCGAACAAAATGTAATTGGCTCTAAATAAAATTGAATGGAAAAGAAATAAAAGAAAAACCTACTTTGCCTATAAAATTTTTTTTGTGGTTGCACGACGACAAAAGAAAGAATGGATATAAGATTTCGTTCCATTATTTATTCGGTAATGAGACCGTTCTCTCTTAATAAATAATCCAATATTATATGTGGATTCGGGAAAAGTGGATCGATTGTTTCGTCATTAAGTTCTGACACCAACTTTCCTCAATTGGTGGGTTCATGACTAATTCGCCACTTCCTATGGAGCTCCTCGCGATCTCGTTCGATCGCCCTCGAGACTCTTTCGCCGAAATTGATATTGGCCCCAGAAGTTTTGAATTGGGAGGCCCGGGTTGCCGACATAAGTAATTTCGGGCCAAGGACCGAAGATGGCTTATGGGTAGACCAGATGGAGTACGCCATTAACAGGCAGTACTTCTGGCTGGTAATTATTAAAGTTGATTTTGTCCTGAAATGAGAAGGAACCTTTCCAGGTGTTAACGGTCCTGGAGGTTGGAGGGTTTTCCATCTCGTTTACGAGTGACGCGAATACCGCGCCCGTTGGTGGAGGGTCTCGTCCTAGGTTTAAGAAGACCGGAGAGATCTGAATAGAGGCATGTTGGGCCGTAT